TCCTCCATCACAGGAAAGTTAGCTCTTTGTGAGGTAATTAAAGTGGAAGTATCTGTTCCAACTTTGCACACCTGAGCTACTACTAACTCAAACAGCAACCTGCAGCCAAGCTGCCCTCCGTGCTGTGGGTGAGGACACACGATGGCTATGGATTTTCAATGTACATATATGTATGTATATACATTCAATATCAGACAGTTGCTGATGTTTTCTTTTTTTGGGGGGGGGGTTAGCCCAACAGATGATTTAGTCCTATTGTAGCTGAGAACTGATGGACCCAAATGCAAAACTCACTCAGAAGATTGACCTTTATTGATGTTAAAAGCAGAGAATATCAAAATCCAAAAGCACGTGAGAAAATAGGTTGGGCTAAACAGACACTGTCAAAGAACACAAACCAACTGAGGTTTTAAATACACAAGAGGTAACGAATGGAGACGCCTTGTGAACTACACACAGCTGAAACTAATTACGGTAATGACACACAAGTAAGAGTGAGACAATATGAAAGAAAATGACTACCAAAATAAAACCGGAAGTAATATGACAGGGAAACACAGGAGAGGCAAGATAAACTGAAACTCAAGGGATTAAAAAACTGAAATACTAACCATAAACCAAAACTGGATTCCGAAAGTAGCGATAAGAAAAAGTGAGATATAATTATTAAGAAATTTTGTTATATTTTACATAAAAGATAACAAAACTCTACCAATATATAAACATAGAAACCCAAACGTGACTAGAAATAAAACAACTCTACAATGAATAGCATCTCATATTTTTTTTCTTGACGCATGCTCGATCATCCAGGTAAGAAAATCCCCAAAAGTTGAATCTGTTCATCTGGATGTAACGTTTTCAGTGGGAGAAATGTTTCATCACTCACCCCAGCTGACTGCAGGTTTCCCCAATTTTATAAACAGTACATTTGCACAATGAATGAAACTAGCACCACTGAAGGAACAATGGGCTGGGAGGTCAGTTGCTTGATCATTAATATGCAAATTCTCATGACAGTTGATCAACAACCACTGATCAAAGCTCAAGGATTAAAGAGCACTGATCATACATGGGAAACTTTTCTCCCACTGAAAACACTACGTCCAGATGAACAGAATGAACATTTGGGGCATCTCATATTTTCTATTTTTTTATTGTGCTATCAAAATTTTCACTAATGCTGTATAATATATATAATCTAAACTGAGAAATGTGGTTTTGCATGAAATATTTTACCAAACGGAGGACTTGGGCCAACTTAAAAGTGATTAATTTCTGCTGGATACTTTTTACTGGACTCTTTTGAATCTGGATCCAGGTTCAGATCCATATCCTGAACTTGGATCTAGGAAGTTTTTGAATCATTCTCAAACATTGCATAAGTGTTTCTTCTTTTTTAAATCTAAACTACCTTTTCAACTTTGACATCTCTACATAGCAAAAGCCTTCAACTTCAACAACAGTTGCGGTGAACTTTCCTTCTGTAGTTATTTCAGAAAGTATTCAACTATTTTACAGAATTTTTTTTTCCATATATCTGTACTGAATAGGAAAGTGTCAGATCACATTCTAAACATTGCAGTCCAATGTAACAAGCTTTAGTGCCACAGGTAGTAAAAAATTTTAAATTCCATTGAAACAGAAACTTTGTTCTCTTGATATAAAGGTTTTGTAGAGCACTTTCTCTCAGAGTACAGTAACAAAATGTTCTTGTTTCCTCTGAGCCGCTGAATAGCAGCTGGGAAGTGCATGATGTCCAAGGATTGGGCATCCTTTTTGATAAGAAAGTAACACTCTCTTAATGTCAAACCACCTTGTTCCAGATGCAAAGAAAACTGTACCAAGTTTATGAAGGAATTTGTTTTTTTTACTCCATCTACATCATCTTTCATAGGTTACAACACACACTCACAGGCACACACAAACGCTGGCAGTCAATTACACCTGCAGAGGGAAAGAGCTCCACAAGGCTTTTTACTTTGAGTCAGAAAGCAGAGTTGATCACCTCCTACATGCCTGCCATTCTTGTGCAAACTTCCCTTAACTGGGTACTGAGTAACTGTGGGTTATCGGCTATAAACACAAAGCCAAATGTCAAAGCCACAGGTCGGCTGTAGTGTGTGTGACAAAGTGTAACAGTATGTGTCTTCATGTTTCAACAAGAACTCTGTCCTCCCCATCCTTTCCAATCTCACACACAGCAGTGGACCTATCGTCGCGCAGGTTTACTCATCAACTCACCCGTGGAGTCCCTCGATTTGAAGGGATGCTACATTAGCTCTGCTAGGACAAAATATACGAGGAGCTGTGGGGGACATGTTGTTATGAAACCTTGCCGTATGGAGCAATTTCTGAAGATGAAGCAATGCATTGCTTTGGTAACCTCCAGACATATGCAAGATTTTTTTTTCCAAAATACTATTTAAATTTAGTGGGTTCAGTTGAATATTGAACACATCTTGTTGCTACAAGTGAAGCTGGTGGGTTGCTTCCTCTTGGGAGGCACGCACATGTAAGACCTCATAAGCTGTGAGAAGATGTGATTCAGTCAACTGGATACATGGATACAAAAAGAATTCAGGCAGGCATGAAGTGATGTGTGAAGGGTTGAGCAACTTTAGCTAATTGAACACTTTGTCTGAGTGTAAAATAGGTTAATATCTATCTATTGAATGAATGACTTCTCAATGACTTCAGATTTGTAATATTCCTGGATTTCCAGTCTTACTGACCAGTCAAAGCACTTTAGACTACAAATCACATTTTAACCATACATTTACACAATATTCTATACTACACTTTTTGATGGCATCACACAATTTACAGACATATTAGCCTGACATGCATGTCTTTGGACTGTGGGAGGAAGAAAAAGGGAGGACATGCAACCTCCACACAGAAAGGCCCCAGCTGCGGTTTAGCCCAAGAACCTGAGGCAACAATATAACCACGCCATGCTAAGCTACAGGTTTTCTAGCAATCACAGCTACAAGACTACATTCCTTTTACAGCAAAATCATTTTGACTGAGAATGACTGTTATGCTTGACTTATTGTTGAGTCCAATTCAAAGACTTACGATGAGTTGTGATGCCCTTATTTTAGACTCCTGAACCTTAGGGGCTTTAGACTAGACATGGCCATGTGTTGTGGAATGTTTAATTTTTGAATTTCTTTATTTTCAGTGAGAGGACAAAAAAAATAATCTTTTCTACATGAAGTTTTAATCAAAACTTCACAATTTTCCATTGTAACAAACAGAACATGCCAGAGGAATAAAAGTAAAGCAATACTTACAAGGCTCTTTTCCTTTGTATATAAGCTCCTTTCAGACATGCGCTGGATCTGAATGTGCTGGTCATATATTCTGAATATCTCTGTCAAAGTTGTTATTCTTACTAGATCAGACTAGAAAAATTTAAATTGCAAGCAGAATTAACACTACTTATGTCCATCTTTGTAATTCCTTTTTTTTTAGAACTTCCCTAGCAACACCTACATGTACATAAAGACATTTTAACTCACCAGCTCCCTTTCTTATTTTGTGAAAAGTGAAAAGGAACCATGGCTGACTATGTGATCTCAGCCATGTTTCCTTTTCACTGACTCTACTCCAGGAGAGATCCTTCTTTTGGAGGGGCAGTGGCAGGCAACGCACATACAGATGTATAGATATTGCACTTCATGACAGCACCACAGAGCACTAAACATTCAACAGTGCGACTGCACTTCGCTAGAGTGGATGCTGACAATGCTCATTTTCACAAGTAAAACGGTTCTCTCCGTTCGTGGCGTGCGTCTGAGTGATGCTTGGAGAAACACATAAACGTGGCCTACGTTTGAAGGGCACTTTTAAACAGTTTTGTAGCAGGCGATGCTATTCTCTTTCAAAATGGGCCATTCTGTACACACCGCAAAGGAAAACATCGAGCGTATCCTTGAAACAGTAACAATTAATGCATTAATGGTGTTGTACTATCTCTGCAAAATGTTTGTGGCTGTGTTGCTCAGTATTCAAGGCCACTGGTTCAATTTTTTTCCAGTGTAGGAATCTCTAAGGATATTGCTCACATTAGTTCAGTGATTCCATCGATTTATTAGTTGCTGTTAGTGCTGCTGTTTTTCGAGAGACAGCAGACGAGAACATACCGAGGTTTTTTTTCCCACACTGGGCAAAAACAGTGACTCAAAATAATATAAATAGCATAATAAATTCAGTAAATTGCTCGGCCTTAATGCATTCCATGTGTCAACTAACTCTAATGACATTTGCCTGCCAGTGTGTGTTGCACTCTGACATCATTAAATCTGAAAAAGTAAAAAAGGGCTACGGAAATGTACGGCAAGGAACACTGAAGCTATTATTGTAATTTGTGGTGTGAGAGACCTTACCAAAACATCTGGATTCATTTCACATTTTTCTTACATTATTTTCTTTTGACATGCATTTGTTGTTGCACTGAACAGGGACACTTTTAATCTGGTGGTCAGAACTGATACTTCTGAAATTGAGAGATTCCCAATAGTAACTTTGTTGCAAAAGGCTTTTATAATCAAATGAATGTACACTCTAAAAAATGTTTTGTTGGCTTAACTTAAAAAAATTGAGGTAACAATTTCCACTTAGCTTTTTAAGTTACAAATTTTGCATATTATTAAGTAAATCCAGCAAGAAATTTTTAGGTTTGGCTAACTCAACTGGTTCAACAAACCAACATGATTTACTTTGACCTCTAAAAGCATAATTAAGTTTAAGCAACCTAATATTAATTTAGAATTCCTGGAAATATTGAGTTGACAAATTACATTAGCTGAGTTAATCTAACTTACTTTTTTACATATATCCTACTCACAATTATCCATGCAAACATAGCCATTTAAATTATTCCAACTGATGAAACAGTTTATTGCATAACATTTTTGAAGAAATACACTTCTGTGTCATACAACATAAATCATACATTACAGCAGCCCTTTAATTATAAATGAGTGGGCAAAAACAATGTATTTCAGTACAATTCCTTCACAAACAACCTCAGTAACAAAATAAAATGTAACATGTTTATTAACTGGACAAGGTGTGTTGAATCAGAAGCTAAAACATACCAATTTACTTCGTTTTTCTTACTCCACAATGGTGTCTACAACTTCTGATTACCTGAACACACCAGCCAATCAACAGTGTTTAGTTATTAACAGAAACAAGCAGAGCAGTGGGGCCTGATGACCGACTTTGAGAACCACTATAAAGATTTGTAAAGGTATATTAAATAAAGCAGCAAATATATATATAAAATCTTCCAAATAACAATAATTTTAAATCACACCCTTCTAAAATACCTCAGAAAACAAACATTGCAACGTAAGGCAATTTGTTTTAGCAAATCTGCTTATTATTAAACATTAACTTTAACCTATCAACTTGGTAAATATCACAGAATCAAGAAAATTACCAAACATTTTAATATTTAACAACGCAACAATTCAAAGGTAAGGTTATATGCATTATGAACTCTCAAAACTACACTTGTCTAAGACTGCATAAAAAACACAAGCATCAGCACATCTGAATATTGCAGCCTAAATTACATTTGTTTTATGACAGAAGTTTGTACTTAAGAGACATTACCCGTGGGCTGGCTTTAAGCCCATCAAGTTCCAGAAACACCTTCTGGAATACCTCTAGAGTGTTCTTTACTTGTTTGGGGTAGCTCAGATTGAGAGCGTATATAAGTCCCATCATTAAGGCACATGCTCTGGGCACATCAAGGTCTTCCAGGACAGCTGTTCCTTCAATCACAATTTTAGCGACGGCTGGAAGAGACACTGCTGCACGTCTGGTGACTACGATCTTTACCACTTCTTCTGGGAACTGTTCTTCACCATCCTGGCAAGTAGGTTAAAAAGAAACATGTCAGTATTTTATGTGCCATTTAAAAATATAACACAAAACAATGTGATATTTACCTACCAGCTGTTCTCTGAAGAGATCCTCTTCTTTCTCTTTCAGATACACCATCAGGCAACGGATTGCGACCTCTCTTCTTGTTTCCACCGAACTCTGGAGAATAAAAAAAGTTTACTAGGCGAAAAGTCAAACATATTACATTCATAGGACTAGCGTTTTGCTAATTATTGTTTTAATTTTTGTTTTTAACAAATAAACAATTTAATTTTTATAACTTGAATTTAATCTGTTACATACTGCCCTGCTTTCAATGCACCCTTTGCTAGCAGTAGGATAAGGTGAGTGAAAGTAAATATAACCTAGATTTGGAGACTATTTCAAACAGTTTTTGTTGAGTTCTATGGATTCAACTATAATAGTTATATGTGAGATATGTGATGCAGAACTGGAAAAAGCCACCTGTGGGCAAGTCTTGTAATGATGTGATTAAAACATTAAAAGCTCCTATCTACCCTCTTTAATGTATTTGTGTAACTTGTCTTCCTCATAAACGTTTATTGTGCAGTTGATGAACATACTTGTAACACTCCAAATTATTACCTCAGTTTTTTTCTCCTCACATTATTTGTAATATGACCCATACTTACCTTAATGTATTGTCAAGTTACATGTGACATGGAAAGTACCTATTTAAATTTACCTACCTCAGTTTGCAATTATGTGACCAAAAGTTACATTAATGTCTTTTCATCTCACTTATGAGGTGCAAAATACTTATGCATCTGAGTTTTACTTTTTCTCTTCAATCTGAGTTACCAAGTTACAAATGCATCACTATATTCTTGACTCTTACAACAAAGAAAACAGACAAATATATTTTGAGTGATGTTTTCTTTAGCAAATTTTTACTCTGTCCACCTCTGATGTTCACTTTTTCACTCTTCAGTAAAAGATAGCCAACAATGCTCCTGAGATAATGAATTAGATAATTAACTTTTAAGGTGTGTAAGATTATCAATTATATTCAGCTTCTTTTTTTTACCTCTTGCAACATGTTCCTGATGCGCTCAATCTTAATTTTTGCAGCACCGCCTTTTGAAGAGACCAGGGACATTATTCTTGTGGAATACTGGTCCAGTTTTGCCATGAATGTTGTTTCCAAGTTAACAGTGGTGATCCTTTGGAATTCATCATTTATCTGTAAAAAATAAAAAAAAAGACACAATTAAAAGCACAATGTGTTAATGTAATGCACAATGTCACTATTATAAGTTATCCTATAAATTATGTAATAAAATCACCTGTGCTGCATCAAAAAGCGCAGGCCATCTACTTCTGAAGTCATTCACAGGTGGTGCCAGATTAACAACTTCCTGTCTGCGATTTGAGAATGTTTTGGCCATTTTTTCACTGATGATCCGATAGTTGTTCCTCTTCTTCACTTCATCAAGAAGTTCCAATCTTTCCTTTTCCAAGCTTTCCTCTGTTTCTCCTTGTGGGTGAGGTGGCAAATAGTTCACCTCAGCCTTTCTTGGCTTTTTGAGATTCTTTGAAGGTGTCTTCTCATGTGCTTGCTTTCTTTTGAGAGAGTTCACATCCAGCTCAGGGCACCCAAGCCCTCTGAGTTTACTTCTGTAATTGCCCATTTTATATTTCAGTCTTTGTTGCCATCCATAGCATCCATTATAGGATCCCGGTTCTTTAAGGCAAGGATGTTGTTGAACAAGTGCTATAGCTACATCTGCTAATTGTGCAGATGTTGGGTAGGCAACATACTGAAAGATCGTTTCAGCCAGTTTCTCAAGGATGTCTGGAAGAAGTGGAGTAAAGTTAAGTTTCGTTCCATCCTTTTTGAAAGTTTCATTTCCTGAAGCAAGTAAAAGCTCTGTGTCATAAGCAAAGCGAGGAACAGAAAAATTGGTAGGCCAGCGCTGAAAACGCCGACTCAAATGTTCAGGTGAGGAAAGAATGACTGTATCCTGAGATCCGGATGAGCAACTGGTGCCACAGGACACACTTGATGTCTCTGAGACTGATGTCTCTGAAATTGCTGAAGCATTGACCAAGGTCTCTGATGCAGATTTGAAGGAACTGTCTACATCACTAAATGTCAGAGTAATTGTGGGAGGTTCAATAATCTGAACCACCTTAAGTGTGTCCTTGTCCTTGATATCACCTGTTGATGTCAGAGAAAAATATTCTTCCCCAAAGTCAGCATCCTTATAGTGCAAAGTAAACTTCCCATCAACCTCAAAAGTCTCTTTCACAATAGATTCAAGTTCTTCCACTGTTCCAGGGATTCCATGTGGTAAGTCCAGTTTTTGAATGTTATGCTCTTTGAGTATGATCCGAAGTTTAGCAGGATGAGACATTGAGGTACCTATATAAAAAGGAAAACAAAAAAACAAAACAGAATTTAGCTTTTGAATTTTACTTGTGGTGGAATATACCTCCTATCACCCTGGAAACTAGATACTTCTGCAGAGAAGATCAGTCATGTGTAAAATGCCTTCCAGACTTGTGGTAGAGCAAGATAGTTGTACTACTAAATCTCTAATTATTGATTAAACATTACTATCCACAACATTACCATTTGAGCTATAAAGATAAACTAATAAAAGGAAGATAAAGCAGCTTTGGCCATACTGTATTGTATTGGCTACCTTGCCTTCTATGGCACATGGATGTAATGCTTTAGGGTCACCATACGCTTCCCTGCTACAGTGTATGCTGCCAGTGGGATAATATCAGACAGATCACAGGACTCAATAACTTTAACACTTCTAGTGTTTTCAAGCTCAAAGCTCCTGAAATGTTCAGAATACCACGCATTTAAGCATTTCACAATGAAGCCAACTTTTCCATTAATTACCACCATCTGAATCAGTTCTACAAAATCTGGCAGACCACCTGTTGATCCATGTGCCAGGATCATTCCAGTGGTGTAACTGGTGCCACTGTAAGACACAGTATTTGCTATCTGGACATTTGACTCCCCAGGGAACTTATTTTCCACTGCTTTCCTAATGTCTTCTCTCAGCACAGTCAAATTCACTGTTAATAGTTTTGTTACCTGTAAAGAAGGCTGGGCTGTTTGATTTCCATGTAGATGGTAGGCAATCATTAACTGATGCTTCACTGATAGAGACAACAGAATGTTTCGAAAACAGCGAGTATGCCTCACCACACGCTTAAAAAAGCTGTGCTTGGCTTCAAAACGCATAGTCCACAGAAAAACAAGTGGACCAAAAGCTTTTATGAGTTGTGGATAGTGCTCTAGGAAATGATGTTTTGGAATCAGTCTTTCCTGTGGGAAAGCTTCCTGAAATCTTTGCCGATGCTCGAAAATCTTGCTGTCAAGAAAACAAATGGTTGAATCTGTATGAACAGATGAAAGGACAAGTTCAACTATATCCTTAAGGTTGAGAAGGAGCAGCCATGTTGGTTCACTCTCTGGTATTTTTTCCCCAACTATAAGGGGGAGGAGGCGAAGCAAAGCCCAGTTTTCATGCGCATTCCCCCCAACAGTTTTTTTTGTTGCAAAATTCAATGGAACTGGTTGTGGGGCATTAGTTCTATCAGCCCATCTGTATGGAAACTGTTTAATTGATTTGTTAAGCTCATCCAAAGTAAAATACTTTCCCTTGATTAAGGTACTAAGGCAAAGTGCTAATTCCAAAGGTACAATACCTTCAAAGAGATCATGTAGCAAATCTGGCGGATAGCCAGTTAAAACATCGAAATGTTTTAGATTTTCAGTCAGTGGGCAAAGTTTTTTTACTCCGTAACAATGAGACTGACTTTTATCTCCTTTTGCAGTGTCAACATGTACCCTGTGTTCTTGTATTGTTCTTTGACTAAATGCTCCACTTCGAACGTCACTTACTTGGATTTGGGTTCGTTCTCCAAGACAAAACCTGCAGACATACGCACTTGAGAAACTCTCCACAAATCCTCCGAGAGAGTGTGCACCAAGGTTGTCTGCAACAACACAAAACACAGTACCTTTGACGCATATGCCTAATGAGGGAATGTAAAGTCCTTCTTCTTCTAGGCATGCAAGATCTTTCAAGAGTGGCTCAAAGACAGCACTGTAACCAAACTGTTTTACATCATCAGATTTGCATAGAATGGCTAGGTAGATTGATGTCAGTGAGGACCTGAGCAATGGTGGTACATTAGCCAAAACCCAATACACTGCTGTAATTTTGTGCTTTTTTCTTGAGGTACCAAGTGGATTACACACTTCAAACTCATCCACATACAAAATGAGGGAAATGGCTGGACTCTCTTCTGATAACAGTTGATTATTTTTAAAATTAGTGCCATGATGAAATGAAGTGTATTGTGTTTCAGAGCTATAATCCATTTCTGAGGTCTGTGTAAGGAAATCTTGGATCGCTTTCTTTTTCAAGACTTCATTCAGCGACTTTAAAACAGGTACATACTGGAAACTTCTCCGTTCCCCAACACTAAGCAAATACTCAGTGGGTTCTACCAAACAAAAATGCTCCTTGAAATATTGGCTTCTTTTGTAAGAGGTAGAAAGAGGACCTTTATTTCCAAAAGCCAATGTGAGTGGGTTGCACTGACAGAGGTCTGCAACCATATCTGAAATCACTAAATCATCAAAGGCACAATTATGCTTCTTTAGGCTTAACTGTAAAATCTGTTTTAGAATAGGACCTGAAGCAGAGGAAGAAATGAATTGTAACTGTTCAACTAACTCATCAATACACTTGTGAGAAACATTGTATATACTTTCCAGTTTTAGTAGTAGGTGGGCTAAATGTTTCTCAATTAAATTAGGCAATTCACCAATTTCTTCATCCTCTGCATTTGCTTCATCTTCACTCAATGGATTTTCAATATGTTCCTCAAGAGGATCATCTCCTGTATTCAAACGATTGACACACCTCTGTATCAGCTCAGGCTTGAAGTCATCCAATGAGTGAGGATTGTGTTTTCGGTTCCTATGAGAAGCATATGTTCCATGAACGTTTGTTTTGAAGTTACAGTTTTCAAAAACACAAGCGACAGTTTCCAGTTTTTTTAAATGGTGCCCAATATGCTTAAAATATTCCCTTTGAGTTGAAAATGTGCTTAAAGAGCAACATGGACATTTGAAAGACAAGACTTCTGAGCATGTCATTGTATCAGAGGATGAATGGCTTCTTGATAAATGGGTTCGCAAGCTATTCCATGTTTTAAATGAGCAGTAACAATCCCAGTATAGACAAGACATAAATAGTTCACCATGGCTATGTCTAAGCCTGTAATGCTTTAAGAGCTGTTTCCTTCTTGGTGTTTCAAATTTGCAAATTTTACAAGTCCAGTGCATTTTGAAATTTATTGCAACTTTTGGTAATGCAAAGACTTATCGAGGCTTTTGAGTTAACAAGTTATTTTAAGTATAAAACCTTCTCTAATACACTACAATGAAACACTGAAAAGATGAATCCAAAATTCAAAAATAATATAATAAATCTACAGACTGTAGTTTAAAATTGGAAAAATTGTGTCATATCCAAATGTGTGAGAGAATTTTCTATTTAATTATTTGAAGACCACTGTTGACATGCCACAATACCACACTTCACATTATGCTTAAAATTACAGAAGGTAACGAAAGCAATTCGTGTGTGCACACACACAATTTTGTTTTTTCTTGCTAGGTCAACTAACTTTAACCTCAGGCATATTTCACATTCGAGCTTAAAATATCAATACATTTGATAGAAATACTTTAACTCACATAAATACTCTGGCATAAATTCACCACATTTCACTCTGTCAGTAATTAGTTACCTCACCCAAGACCGTGGAAACACAAATTTACTCTGACACCATAGTAAAAAGGCAGGCAGCTGCTGACTGGTAAATTTGAACATATACAGGTTCAAATTGAACATGCTCTGCTGTCTGCAAGGTCTATCAGCTAACCAAATGCACCCTGACAAGTGACAAACTTTAAGTATAAGTAGAAAAATTGACAATGTACTCTCGTATTTGCGAGGAACGTTTGCTAGCTAAAAGAAAGCTAGCTAACAACTTTAGCATAGTAAAGTTGCTAAAGTTAAACTATGATTAAAACCATCGAATTTAAAGTGTACAAATATAACTTGTAATTAATCTATTTAGAATTCAATGCTTGGTTAACTCACCGAACACAGTCTAGGTGAAACACACCTCTACTCCCACAAAGTGATAAGAATGCAGACAACTGCTACACCTGTGATGATACGAACATATGCTACGGGGTTACCCTCTGCTGTATGCATGGTCTCATACACACCTATGGCTAACCAAAGTAACCACCAGAGTGACAGATTTAATTGACAGATTTCATTAATAACTGGAAAAAATTCAAATGCTTTTACTTTTATAGAGTAACAACTAGCATAACACAGAGTGTCAATTCACATCATGTAGCTGCCATTGTCAGACTAAACTTACGCAGTAAATTCCTGTACCTAGTACATATTTATAAAAGAGTATAAAACAAGAAACTTACCAGGCAGTGGTGCCAACCTCAGTTTTTTTCCGTTTCTTCTTTTTTATGGCAGTTGTAACAATTTTTTCGTTATGGTCCAGTTATGGGCAGTTCAAACATGAAGGATGTTCAAACTCACTTTTACATGTTACACAAACTTAATATTTTCTGTTGTTGATTGATGACAAAAGTATTTTGTTCAATATACTAAAACATTTAAGTTAAGGAGGTGTTTATTAATTTCTGTGTTGCACTGACTTTTAACATTGATTAGTCAACTCACTGAAACGTGTACATGTAGTCAACTTACTTTTTTAAGTAGAAAAATGCTTTTTTGTTAAGTTCTACCTACAAACACCATGAATATTTTTTAGAGTGTATATACCCTTTTAAAAAAACAGACACTACCCAACTCAAATCCTTTGCATCAGGAAGGATGTCCAGCATCTACTACAGCAGGTGCCTCTGCTTATTTGTTTTTAAACCTGATGTGTAATAAGAGAAGCTTGCTAACGTTAAGAAGTAATTTTGGTCATGCTCAAGTGGCAAAATCTCAAATGAAGCCAATATGGAAGTGCCAAAACCTCCAGGATTCCTCTATGACCATTTAGCTCCAAAACTGAGTCAACTGCATACACTCCAGTGTTAAAATGCTCACCTTTACAACATTAAAAAGCAAGTTTACAGCTTGAATAGCTTTTAACATCTCTAGGTGGGTTAATATTTTTATAATAATATTTTTATATTCAACTGGATAATGGAGTTGAGGGCATGGCTGCTTTGAGTGGGGCTTTGGATGTATCACTGCTTTGGATTACTAACCAAGCTTGCTAGCATTAGCGGGTAGCTGAGCATCCAAATGGAGCAGCCACTGCCTAAAAAAAAAAAACAAAAAAAAAAACGAAATACGGCAGTGGGATAAAAGACATCAAAAGCCAGTCACAAATCAGTGAATGATGTATCGGTGACTCTGCTTTCATGCTATAATCTGTCCTTGGATTAGCATAAACTTCGTGAAGGCTATGTTTTGGTAACAGATCCGATTGTTCCAATTCATTAATTTTACAGGTAACTTTTAAAGAATTTTTGATGTGAAAGTTGCTCATTTCTGTATACAGATCCTGGATAATTGTTGGTGAGGTTCTTAGATAAGCTCTTTTTGATCTAAAAGCTCTTTGACAATGCTTGCATGTTAGGATGTTGTAAAACATCTCTATATGCCAATCATGTTCTTATTGTCCAGTATGGTGAGTTGCTATAGAAACTACAATACCTTCTGTACTTCTGGTAAGATAGAAAACCAGGTACAATCATATGCTAAGGTAGCAAAGCATCATTTTTGTGATAGTCGCAGTGTTGATACCATATTTCTTGTTCCTGTTGATACAGATTTTTCACCACATCTGAAAAGGCACAGTCTACTATCAGTTTCCTCTTGATTTAATTGGTTTTTCAAGACAATTTATTTCCTTTCCCCGCTAAGTGAGGATGAGGTAAGAAGCATGTGTTATTCACACGAGATCAAGGCATATCGTTCACATAAATCATTAGGTGTCATCACATGAGCCCTTTGCGTATGTCCAGCACTCTTGAACTCAGCTTTTTCTGTTTCACTCCTGCTCCTCTCCTCCTCATTTCGCTTTCATTAGAGCTTTCATTAGAAAACCTGTCATCACATTGTAAGATGCTTGATGCTTCTGCCCTTTGATATCCACCACGTAGGAAATTCAAAAGACGCCTGGAAAGCCTCTCACCCTTTCTCACACAACATGGTGGCATTGTTGGGGCTCGCCGCTGCTGAAAACCTTGCGCTGCATTAATACTCCCTGAGGTCTGAGATGACTTAATGTGCTCCTTCCATCTGTTGTCTGATCAGAAATCAGAGACCAGTTCTGTCCAAGCTGCTGCTTGTCCTTGGACAGATTTCCTTCAAGTGATTGAAAGAGGAAAGGGAAAAAATAAATAAAATAGAATGGGGCAGTAGAGAAGTTCCATCAGTCCGCTATCGTTCCCAAAGCCCCGTGTGAATATATGGAGTTTAATCTGTGTGTGTGTGTGTGTGTGTGTGTGTGTGTGTACCTGTTTGTGTGCCATTTCTGTCACTGTACTCTCCAAAGGCTCATTAATTATAGTTGGAGTTATTATGGAGATAAGTGTGAGCCTGACTATTGGTACTGACGATAAGAAGAAGAATTACCTGTTTTGGTGCTTCTGCTTCCTAATCAGCTGCCCATTAGAGATATCAAGGGACTTCTATTATCGTGCCTTTGTTCTTCCATGTCTCTTTTTTCTTTCCTTTCTCTGTTTGGCGTTTTTCTGTCGTTCAGTGCAACCTCACTACGCAGGTGTCTGTTTGAGAGGCCTGTGAAATGTGTGTTTCCCTTCATAATCCAGTGCCTATCATAATAAGCCAATAATCATGCAATCTGGAGTTCTTTGTACAACATTTTATCCTTGTGGGGACAGCTAGGTGTCTATTTGGGAGGAAGCTCGGTTACATTTTTCGGTTGGAGCTGGCTGATTGGACATATTCATCTGGGCCTGAGGAAATTCCCTCACCAATTTCTTGCTGATTCTGAATTATGTTGATCTTGGGGATATTTAAAATGAAGCCTAGTGTGAGAAACTCAACCAAGTAAGTAAATACAGTGACAAAAACGATACTCGGGTTGATTTTAAAATCTATTTAGAGCCAAACCACAGCTGACATTTCCCAGAGCCTTCCTTGGGGTGTGCTGGTTTTGTGCTGCTGCTGCTGCTGCTGCTGCTGTTGCCGCCTGCTTTTGGGAATAAAGTGTCACCTCATAGTTGTTTGTTAATATTTTGTCTTGACTCTCAGAACTTATTTAATATGCAAGAAGGTCCCCCTGTCCTATAGGAATTGGTAGCGTATGTGAGATTCTTCAGTATCTACCAGCTATGTTTCTCCTCATACTCAAGTTTTGAGCAATTAAATTAGAATATGTAATTCTCCCGGCAAATTTACAAACTAGATTTGAAATTCGAGAAAAGGTTTATAATGTGAGAGGCTTTGGAGAATTCAAATTACCCAGAACTCGAACAACCCGTAAAGGCTTTTGCGTGTCTGTATGTGGTGTGAAAATCTGGAACAGTCTGAGTTTACAATTGAAACAATGCAAAAATATTCATAGATTTAAATTTCTCTACAAACAGTTGGTCTGGTCACAGTATACTCAATGATGGGTTTTAGTGTGCTCTGTAATGTCTGTTCTCTTACCATTGCTGGTATGGATTCCAAAATAAAAAAAAAAATAAATAAAGTGTGCGTATGTATGTACATATATGTACTTGTGTGTGTAGATATATATGTATGTATATGTATGTGTGTTTGTTACTTGTAGTTATTACTGCCTGTTACCTGTGGTAATGCAATTTATAATTTATATATTCTGTATTCAGTTATGAAGGCTCTAATTGTTGGTTGCGAGCTGCCGCTTAGATGCTTGTATGTGCCCGGAGCTGTTGATGGGTCTGTATGCAATGATGGGCGTAGCTGCGGGAAGTTTATTGTTTTTTTTGTTGATGAGTGAGTATAGGGGTGGGATTTAATAAGTTTTCTTCGTCCCACTCCTTTTTCAGGCAATTTTTGTTTTTTGTTTTGTGTATTTTATGTTCAATATAGGTATTTGTTGTGCCTGAAAATGAATAAATAAATGAATGAAATGAATGAATGAGGGTGGACTTTGCCTTTGAATGACTTCTGGAAAGTTTCGGAGAGGAAAAATCACCCCTGGACTGTTATGCTAGTGAATATAGGTCAGGCCGCACACGTGTTCATCATTGTGTTGGATTCTGCTGCAATTTGATTCCCTTTCTGTGCTGATGCAAATTCTGATTGACTTGTTTCTGATGTCCCCAGCATATGGCTAATAAAGGTTTTAGTGCAGCAGAGCCACAGGAGCTCCAAGCTGCCAGGATCAAAGTAACAGCCTCAAACAGGCCTTTGTGTTCTTCAACCATTAGGGCATAGCGACAGCAGCACCTGGTGCGGGCCATATGAATGTTGTTATCTCGGTGTATTTCTCTTCGTTTGGGCATGGATAAATAAATACATGCACTAGATTGATTTAGCCAAACTGACATTATTATAATGTGATACCATTATGTGTACTGACACATTGATGTGTTTACTTCGTGCACTTAAACAGAGGAGCAGTAAAGAGAATAAAATGAGGGAAAAAGTTAGAGACAGCATATAGTTGGTCGATTCATTTGTTTGATGGCAAATCATTTATGATTAAGTAGTGTTGTTTTAACAAAGCTCAATTACAAAAAGACACTCACAAGTCTGTAAACTTGCACTTTTAAATGACAAAAAAACCACAAGTCCTCTGATGGTCACGTGATGCTGCGGCCATTCAGCTTCAGGGCAGAAATAAACATGTTCTTAAGCAGCTCTTAAATGGACTGGGTCTTATATAGCGCTTTTCTACAACTCGTTCATTCACCCAATCACACCAGCACGTTTCTAAGTTTTTAGTGCTATCTAGCTAACATTCATACTTACACATTCACACTCCGATGGATGCATCAGAGAGCAACCTGGGGTTAGTATCTTGCCCAAGGATATTTGACATGCAGACTGGAGCAGACTGGGATTACCACCTGAGCTACAGCCACCCCGGTTACATGGTAACTGTAAGTTGTTTTGTTTGTTTTAAAAAATAAGATTTTTGTCTGTACATGTGTTCAGTTGTAGATCTTATCGGAATTGGTAAAAATGTGTATCAGCAGGGTTAACCAAAGA